CCAATGAAGCGTTATATGGGGGGGGGGGTAAAATCAGTCACATAGCTCGGTTATAGGACTCACTATAAACATTAACTAGAATACCTCTCTCTCTCTCACTACAACCATGGGCTTGGTTGCTTTCAAAACTATTTTAAGTATGAAATTACTTATGTAACAATACATTTTGGTTTTCAAAGATATTCAAAGATTCTTTACAAACACGATTTTAAGTATGGATTTACTTATACAAAGATACATTTTGGCTTTTAAAGACTCATTGCAAATATTGTTTCAACTATTGTTATTCATACAAAGATAATACTTTTTGGACTTATAAAAGTATTACTGCTTTTAGCTGAAAACCTGTAACACTCACCAACATTGTGTTGACCCTCAAAACTACATGTATTCTCAAGCTATCACTAAACAGACATTCAAGATGATTGTATTACAGGTGACCTAGTTTACTTGCTGTTGTATTATATGTCTATCTGTTAAGGCAATTCATGTAGTATTATTATTTGTTAAAACCTTGTATCTAAACATTAAGATGGAACATGAATGCTATATTTTTTTTTATTGTTGTACGTGTGCTGTATATTCAGTTTACTTGTGATCCATGAACTTAGTCGCACTGCCCGACGTGTTCCGCCGCCTCGGCCGGGGGTGTGACATCTCACGACGTGACCAAGGCTGGTCACGTCTTATGATGTAGGCCCGGTGCAGTCCAATCTTATACCGTAGGCCCAATATGCACGCATTATATATTTTGTTGCGTGGGATATTTTGGGGAAACTCACTAAGATTTGGATTACAGTTGTTGATTTCATGTTTTCAGGTACTTCTGATGATTGGGGGAAGGCAAAAGAGTGATCGTACACATCCTCCTCTTGTTTTATGTTTTGAGAGATTGACTTGATACTCTGATTTTCTAGGATATGATTTGAAAACAATGGTTGTTTATCTATGGTTTATTGTGGAAATGTTTTTATAAAAATGAAAAATTTTATCATGGTTTTTAGGATGCTATAGTTATGCAATTTAGTTTTATTTAGGTTATTTTATTTTATTTGTTTATTTATTTTATTTATTTATTTATTATTTAATCACTTAAAATTTATCAAAGGCCTTTTATTCGTTCTATTCACCGATATAATCATTTAGAATTTTTATCCATAATTATATAATTATTCAAATTAATTAATAAACTCATTTCCTAAATTACTAACGATAAATAGGACAGTACATAATCCAGTTTAATTCCTATGGATTCAAATGTGAAAGTTTAGAAAGGAGAAGGCGATGAAGATATTTAAGTTACTGAATATCGCAGCTTAGTTGGAAGATTGAGATATTTGCTCTAAACTAGACCGAATCTTTCATATGCGGTTGCCATTGCAAGTCGGTACATGCAAACTCTAAAAAAATCGCATATTGCAGCTATAAACAAATCCTAAGGTATGTGAAAGGAACCATAGGTTTTGGGAGAAGTAAAACCAATCACTTGTTTTACTTAAATCTATCACCAATCATTTGGTGCTCACAAAAGCAAGAGACGGATGCACTATCATCTTGTGAGACAAAGTACATGTTGGAAGTGCAACAAGTTATCATGCAGCTTGTCTTCATGATCTGCTTAAAGAATCTGGAGCTCGTATACAAGAATTGGTACCTAAGATTGACAACCATATGCAATTGCACTAGTCAAAAATCCAGTTTTCCATGGTCGGAGCAAACATATCAAATCTCGCTTTCACTACATCCGTGAGAGAGTTGAAGAAAATGAGATTGTGGTGGAACACATCTACGGGAAGGAACAACAAACTGACATTCTAACGAAAGCTCTTTCAAAAATAAAATTCATTGAAATACACACACTGTTGGCATTAAAGAATCTCTCATATGTCTAGATATCGAGTTATGAGAAAAGTTTATTTAAAAAATATATATATATATAATATTTAACTGTTTATTTTCTTCTAAAAAAAATATTAAGCATTCCAAATTTAAAATATTTTAAATATTAGATACCATAAATATATTATTTAAATATTTATTTAGGAAAATTCTTCCAAATAAAAAAATATTAAGCATTCCAAATTTAAGAGTTTAAAAAGTAAAATAAAAACATATATATATATATATAATATTTAACTGTTTATTTTCTTCCAAAAAAAATATTAAGCATTCCAAATTTAAAATATTTTAAATATTAGATACCATAAATATATTATTTAAATATTTATTTAGGAAAATTCTTCCAAATAAAAAAATATTAAGCATTCCAAATTTAAGAGTTTAAAAAGTAAAATAAAAACATATATATATATAATATTTAACTGTTTATTTTCTTCAAAAAAAATATTAAACATTCCAAATTTAAAATATTTTAAATATTAGATACCATAAATATATTATTTAAATATTTATTTAGGAAAATTCTTCCAAATAAAAAAATATTAAGCATTCCAAATTTAAAATATTTCAAACAACAAGGTTTATATATAGTAATTAGAGATCAAGTAGGATTTTAAGTACATTGCTATATACGCATATGTCTAGATATCGAGTTATGAGAAAAGTTTATTTAAAAAATATATATATATAATATTTAACTGTTTATTTTCTTCCAAAAAAAAATATTAAGGATTCCAAATTTAAAATATTTTAAATATTAGATACCATAAATATATTATTTAAATATTTATTTAGGAAAATTCTTCCAAATAAAAAAATATTAAGCATTCCAAATTTAAGAGTTTAAAAAGTAAAATAAAAACAACTAAAATGAAATTGTAAAACTTCATTTCCACATGTAATGAAAACAAAAGTCCTGAAAACCCCAATGTTCATCTTTTGTGCAAATCAACAAGAAAAAACCTTGCTACCTTCGTTCATGACGGTTCTACCTAAGCCACTAATACCCAGGAAGATAACACCATCTCCCTGACAGTGGAATCTGTAATGTTCCCTATTAATGTCAAAGTATATCCCTTGATATCACCTGACAATCGAATAATTACCGATGGATTCATCATCGGGAGATTCGATCTCTCTGCAATCATCAGCCACCGGAGAAAATGTAATAGTGGTGATGGACGGAAACAGGGGGAAAGGAAGTCTCGATGCTCTAGATTGGGCGATCAAGTACATTGTTGGCCCAAATGACACCGTCGTCGTTCTTGGAGTGTTGCCGGAAATCGGCAAGAAACCCGCTCCTTCTTGTTTACCTTTTCACCTCGGAATTGGCACCTCCGGCATCTGTAAGCTTCTCATGTCTCTTGTATAACTGCTCTGAGTTCGCCTTGAAAGATTGAATCAAATTATGAACTCCTTCTGATCGATGCTTTTTTTACTGTTATTAAGTCAAAGTTTGTAATTTTATAGATTAATGTAGCCAGTCCTCTTTCTTTTTTGTACAAAAACTGTTGATTTTCATTTGAATCTTGGGCTATGAATCAGGGATAAAACTCGAGTTTTCACACAATGAAATGACACCGTCGGAACTCCAACAAGCGATTGGGAGAAAGAAGAGAGAATACCAAAAATTTCTCCAGCCCTACTACCACCATTGTAAGAAGAGGGAGGTTTGTGTCTTCTTTGCTTTCTCAATACTTTAAAGGTCTCGTTTGCTTTCTCAAGAAGATGGAATTGGATTCTCTGATCTCCCGTCTGTGTAAAAAGACATAAAAGCCCTCCTCGTCTGAATGATCCTCCCTGCAGGTGAAGTTAGATATAAGGCTAGCTGCAGGATACGAATCCAAGAAATTGGCAGTTGAAGAAGCAGAAAAGCTCGATCCCCGTTGGATTGTCCTAGATGGGTATTTCATTTTTTTGGTTTCTTGATTTTCTTTTGAAAATTTCAAGATCTTGTCTTTATGGATTCCCTTTTGAATTTTAGATACTTGAAGAAAGATAAAGAATATATACACAAAAACGTAGACTGTCATGTCGCTTTATTGAAGGAAAAAGGTGTAGCAACCTTAATCCCATCAAAAATCACTGGCCCAGAATGCGAAGAATGGCAAACCGTTTGCAGAAAAATTGATGATCAAGCTTTCACGGATGATGACTTTGTGGAAGAATTACCAAACTCACCAAAACAAACTCCATTAACGCCTTGTTCATACCCGTTATCATGGAGAACAGGGTTCCCGAGAGCTTTTTCTTTGGGTGAAATTGAAGAAATAACAAATGATTTTCAAAATGTCACGCTTAAAGATCAAAATAGGATCATATACACTGGGGTTTATGGAGAGAATCAGGTTATTGTTATGTGTTTTCGTGCAGATGATCATTCGGCTTCTTTACTTAAAATTGTGTCGCGAGTTCGCCATAGGAATATTTTGAATCTTGTTGGTTATTGTTGGATTGGTGGTTCCATCTTCTTGTTGTGTGATTGTCCCGAAGGTTCGCTTGAAGCTTGTTTGCTGTGTAAGTCTCCTTTTGTAATTATGTGATTCTCAGTCCGTTAGGTTCGTTTGCCACATAGGATATGACAGAACAGGTTGTACTGTGTTGGGACTAATGTTAGTTGTGTAAATTTGGGACAAAAATCGACGGGGACTCGCTCTTTATCTGTTGTCTGCGCAAAAGACGTAAATACCCTTCTGATCCTCATGGTATAAAAAAAATTTAGGTGATAAGGCAGCAACAAACCTTTCATGGAACAAACGGTGGGGTATTGCCCTAGAAATCGGTGCAGGCATCCAATACCTTCATGAGGAGTTTGCAGATGGATCAATTGTAAACTTATCCCTTTGTTCTTGTAATGTTGCACTTGGTGGTGATTCTTCTTCTATGGTAACACATATTTATTTTTGTGTGTTTCTTTAAATGAAAATGGACTTTTGAGTCATGAAATTTGAAGCCTTTAATGGTGATATTGAAGCTTTGCATTTACGAGACAACAACAAAGCAAATGAAAATTGACAACGATCCGCAAGATGAATCCATGTTAGTGAAATAAATCTTGTGTAATTTATTGGTTTGAAGGGTAAGGTAAATAATGTGTGTTTTTGGTGAATTAAGATGCAAGAATATAGATGTGAATGAGCAACTTAGAGAGGATATACAAGATTATGGAGTTTTCTTGTTGGAGCTTATATCGGGACTTAGTAGGCGATTGTTTGAAAATGATGGTCAATCCCTTGTTGACTGGGTAAGGTTCCTTTGCCTATTGTGTTGTTTCTTTTTGACTTAATAGGTTAAGCACTTGATTGGGATAGCTATACATGGCTGTCAATTATTTACTTAATCTGGACCTAATGACTTAGGGTATTGAGCCAAAAAACCTGGTTTAAATGGGTTTAAGACACCAACCGTTTACCTATATTCCTTTATTTTTTTCCTCCAAACACATGTTTAAAATCGATGGATATTGTAAAAATTGATAAGTATTGTGAGACTAAATATAAGACCCATGTATTATATGGGTTCATTTAAAAGAAAAATTAAATATGACATTCTTAACATTTGAAAATTTTGAATTTATAAGAAATATTAGGAAAAAATATTGAATTATTAAAATTAAAGTTTTTTTTTTTAAATTTAAACTAATAATTTGGATAAATAAAAAGAGGAAACTAATGAGGCTTTAATTTTGAAATTTTGAAATTAGAAGAAATATCAATTAATGATATTGATATTTATTTATTATTACATTTATTGTAATTATTACATTTAAATATTATGTAAAATTTAATAAAATAGAATAAAACCACAAAATGTTATGCGGAAAAATTTAAATGAAAATAACCACAAAATGACATGTGACCAAATCAATGAGAGTGTGACATGTGACAAAAAGATTTTCATTTATTAGAGTAGATTTGTTATTTTGTAATGTAATTGGAAAATGATTATTTAGTCTGGTTAAGAAAAAAAAAACATAAAAACATATATCATGTGTACAACACTTTATTAAGGCATTAAGTCATTTTTCACAATCATGACATAAAAAGAAAAAAAAGAAACAACTCATTAAGTTTGTAAATTATATATATGAATACATGACATAAATAGAAAAAAAAAAAAGAAACAACCCTTTAATTTAGTAAACTATACGAGTTTTTTTTTTTTTTTTTTTTTTTTTTTTTTTTTTTTGATTAAATGATAAAAGAACGAAATAAAGACATAAAAATTAAACTTTCCTTTAAGTCCTAACTTGTATACAAAGTTTCCATGGTTTATTTTTTGTGAGATTTCCCAAGTTTCCCATACATTTTAAACATTATTTTTGGAGACAACAGTTTACAATCTAATTTACCAAGTAAACCTTGTTTGAACTCAGGCACTACCGTTTTTGGAGAAGAATATACTAAGCCCTATGTTGGATCCAAGGTTAACAGAGACAAGTGATCCTCGAGTGGCTCATATGGCTCGAGCTGCATTGGCATGTTTGAACTATGACTCGAGCCACAATCTTACCATTAGTAAGATGTTGGCAATCGTACGGGGTAATCAATAGGTGGAACTGCCACATTGAGAACAATCATGGCATAATAAAAGATAGTATGACTATGTATCATATACAATAAAAGTTGTATATGGCCCAAAGTTCCGTGAAAGGGAATAATATTACAAAAATAAATGATTTCCAAGTATGTAACAAAAAAGACCCTAGTGGTGATTTCCAAGTTTGTATAAAAAATATTTCAATAATTTTAACTTGTTTAA